AAATAAAATCACACAAAAAGTCATACAAGATATTTTATTTCAAGTCAAGGGATTCTACGTTTTATCCTTCTTAGCTCTTCTTATATATTGTTAATGCAATAGATTTTGTGAGTGGTTATTTTTAAAGCGAGACCATTTCCGTACAAAGACGTTTGAGTCGTTATTGTGGAATGCAATCTGCTTTTCAATTTCTATCGAGTTGATAAGTACCTGTATATGCACCTGGTGTGTATGCAATTTCTAGCTATAAGGAGTAGGTGATGAAAGAGAAGGTCTTTTATGTCGTCAATGAGACCGAAACAGAGAGACAAAGAGGGAGAGACGTTTTCTAAATCTTTGAAGTTTTGAGAGAGCCACTCGAACATGCTCGTCCAGAAGTTCCGAGTGTATTTGCAAGTCCAGAATAGATGAACAAGGGTTTCTTTTGTTCCAACGATATGAAACTTATATGAAATCAAATAGGTATAAATTGAAAGACACTGGCCCCTTGAAATAACCGGGAACTCATCATTTCGTGGTGATTGTCTAAAGTTAGAATACAGGTCCGACCAAATACTGATTGCAAGTCAGATTTGGCCTGATGACCATAACGACTTTGATTGGTCCGCAACCAAGTAAATCACACGAAGGAACATTCGTGCTAAATCACGTGACTGTGATTTGCATTTAGCACAAGCAATAGTCGGTCTACCAACAGATAATAGAGAGCTTAAGCAAGCGACGTTTTATAGCCATGGACGGAAACAGGAAGTGAACATTTCGCGTGCCAGGACAGTGGTCTCTCCCAGATTTGCAAACTAATCGTCTCTATTAGTGAAAAGATACTTAACAATATAAATGTAGCGTGAAGACAGGTTAAATAGGGAAACAGGTCACTTCCGGTTGCCGTCCGACAACACGCCTCTCCTTTGCGACAACACTCTTGAGCGTGTATGGTTTCTTTTCCAAGGAGACGCGTGAACAAAAATTCCCACTTCGTGCATTCTCCCCCTACAGATGCGGGACACACGCTACGGGATGGTTAAAGGGGGCTCATCCCGAGGAACACGAGGGTAAGGTGACACGACAGGTGTGCTTCGACTGGAGTTCAAATTATTACCGTTGGTCCGTCAATCTGCAGTGGGTACTATCTGTATTTCATCAGTTTTTTGCTTTTAAAAAATTGATAATTCAGTTGTTTCTTCGTTATTCTTCTCGGTTCTCGGTCGTGTTGGCGTCAATACACGGGTATATATATGTATCCTTGAGATACGACGAAAATAAACAAACTTTGTATATCTAGAGAGACCCGTATTCCTTCATTGAAATCGGGTCTCTATTACCGCCTTTGCCAATGACACATAATTGCACAGCCTTTCCAGAAGAATCACAATCCTCTCTGACAGTGTTTTACAGTCTCTATTAAGAGTGGATGTCCGTAAAAATCAAACAAAATTTAAAACCCTGAAAAATCGATTCTGCTCATGTTTTAATTTCAAGTTAGAAAGTGGAATGTCTTTGGGGAACCATGGTATAGTTCGTTTGGTTAAATATTGTTCTGTTTGGAAAAAAATGCAAATTACCGAGCGCCGCCGAAAATGTCGAAAAGACGGGAGATTTTTTGGCCTCACCTTAGTGATGGTAGGGTCAAAATGGTCAAAATTGGCCGATTTATGGTTGATTTTTAAGGAGAGAAATTGGCTCCTAGACCATATTTTTGAAACGAAAAAACTTTATTTACAAACCACGGGTGTTAATAGACGTTACCTTAACCTTGAAGAGTATGTCTTACTTGGCTTACTTGGCGAGTCCGTACATTCCTTACTAATTTGGCCTAAATTATTGCAATCAAAACAGAGAAGATTAGCACATTCACGCGCGAAATGCCCAAAGCGATTATATTTATGGCACCTCAGGAATTGATCTTGTTGAAACAAACGAACTTGAAAACGCCCAAATCCGCGTAAAGTAGCAGGAAGGTGACGATTAATTAAGAATGACAGAAAATATGTGAACCCCGTTGCGAATCTTTGTTCGCTGATGGCAATTACGATACGTATTCAGTCCGGAATGTCCCTAAATTTAAGGACAGGGCCAACTGGTCACGCGACACTTTTCAACCAATGAGAGGGCACGCTTGTGTTTATCAACAAACAAATCAAAACATCGCCCCAGTGATCAAAAATTTTCAAAACAACGGACGGAGTCGGACAGAATTAAAGATGAGCTTACAGTACTCGTCTAGGTTTCACATTTAATATTTCAAAGAAAACATTTCATGTAAGAGAATAACAGCATTAATCATTGCAAGGAATCATTGGGGTGTTCTAACTGATTCCGGACCGATCGCAGAGGTCGTGGCTTCACTGGCATGGTTTGCAAGATTTTTGATAGAAGCAAACTGGTCTTGTGTAAAAATAACGTTAGAGAGAGTGTGAAAATTTGTTGAGATCGTACTAAACAGGATTGGTGCTACCTATTAACTTCTACAGGACAAGAATCAAAGAATCAGTCATCATAACAAGAATAGAAAGTAGTTCAAATTTATTAATTTTTCTTGTTTGTTTTTTGTGTTGTTTCGTGTTGACTTCACGCATCTGGTGCTTTCTTTGCTTACTGTAGTACCTGCAATGTTTTAATTTTATCCCAGATAATCAGAGCATGTTCAATGAGTAGCGAAATACATCATTTACAACTGAGATTTGCCTTGTTTCTTTGATTGTTTTTTAACGGTGGATGAACATTTGGAGAATCCAACAACATTAAATCACAGGTGGCCCAAGCGTAAAATGGGCCTGTGGTGGCGTAATATGAGAGTTTGTATGGGAAAAAGAGAGTTTGAACCTTAGATGAAATAAATGAAGTAAAAGCGATAAAAGTTATCAATAAAGTGTAAATATTGTTACCTAGAGTCGTTGTCTTTGTTTTTACGAAGCTTCAGCGCGATTTGAGTACTTTTACATCATCTGACCTGACAGTGTAATAATAAGAGACAAGGTAGGACAGAATCGCTCGATCGATCTTCAAAGCTGCCCAGAATCAGCTCCAAATTTCACGCGAAAAAACAAACGCACTGACATTTTACGCCGCCGAATCTACAAAGTGGTACGTTAAGATCGATCGAGCGATTCTGTCCTACCTTCTCTCTTATTATTACACTGTCAGGTCAGATGATGTAAAAGTATTCAAACTCTCTTTTTCCCATACAAACTCTCATATTACGCCACCACAGGCCCATATTACGCTTGGGCCACCTGTGGTAATAACATGGCTCTGTGAGAAACCCGGGAGTGAAAAACGTACGTGTTTTGGACCTCGGAATTCAAAAATTGTCTACCAAAATGCTAGGTTGTCTACCATCCCCACATTCAACATGCTAAAAGTTAATGAATATGACAATCGATGGAAAATATCTAGAACTTCGTAAAAAATCTGTGAATCGAAAAAATAATAGATACTTGTTCACCTACCTTGAAAACCGACCAAAATCTCGCCTATACATCCCGTTGCTTAAAAGATAAAAGAAGAAATAAGCCACAAAATGTGCTGAATATTTCACGAGACACTTCCAATATGGCTTCCGATACGCTGTCCACTTAAAAAAATTGTGTATGTCTAATGAAAAGTCCTTAAAATATGCCTGAAAGCCTCGAAACGATAACTGATTCTGTCCGACTCCGTCCGTTGTTTTGAAAATTCTTGATCACTGGGGCGATGTTTTGGTTTGTTTGTTGATAAACACAAGCGCGCCCTCTCATTGGTTGAAAAGTGTCGCGTGACCAGTTGGCCCTGTCCTTAAATTTAGGGATATTCCGGACTGGTATTCACTACTTGACATAGTGAGATTCCTGGCACATTATATATACGTCACAAAGTGTCTTTCTGATACAAAGTATATGCAAAATCCCTAATCAAACAGTTCTAAATAAAGTTCTTAGGCTTAAGGTGACACAATATGGCACCTTGTGACGCATATACAAAGCTGCTTGAATCCAATCATCCTGTTGTAGTGGTCATCTATGAAAATTTGACACAAAAGGTCATGCCCTTATTTATGCCAGCAGCTTGCATACATTAAAATTTAACGTGTCTGTCGTCTAATTGTTGATACAAAAAGTAGCCAATTAGTGGAAATAAAATCTCCCAGTTTTGGTTAAATAAAATTTTTGTTGTGAGCAGAAATTTTTACAAAATCTAGCGCTATCCCCAACCCACCTAATTGTTCTAAATACTTCATTAGTATCCTCAGCCATAGGCAAACGTGATCACGCCGGAAAAAAAAAGGTTATGCGAACAATTCACAAGTTCTTCACTCCTGCTACGAAAACGCTCGAATACTACTATAACGTTATTTTCAATGTGTGCTTTACAACCGGCTATGCGTAAAGGTCATGAATAAATTAAAAATGATAGATTGCAGCTTAAAAGGAGCTGTGTCACGAAATTCAGCCAAATTATGTAATTACAAAATGCCCGTTAAATTAAGAGAAACGTGAAAATAACCGCTTAAAGCATTAAAGGAAGGTTAAAATAACAAAACAGATACAACAGATGCCACGGACGGGTAAAACTGAAGAAGATGAAAACGGATTAATCGAAATTAGGATTTTTGAAAACTCTTCAGCCTAACAGTTTTTCAACGTTGATCTCTGCCGTTTGCAACTTCAAAAATAATGCTCAGGAGACACATTTGTTTGTCTCGAATCTCTACTTGTGTCATTTACAAGTAATTTCTTTGCTTACTTTAAGTTCCATAGCTACTGAGGGCGAGTAACTGGCAAAATTAAACAAAATGAACTGGACTGCCGTGACACAGCCCCTTTTACCTCTTCCCCAGGACTTCTTGATGTGCCTAACAAAACAGAGGAGAAACTTCCTGGGAACGAGGTTGCCACAACTTTCCCTGCTCACGGAATTGCAAAGTTTACCTTATCGGCTTGCTCACCAAAACGTTTTCAGCTTCAAAGCCTGGAAATAAAACTCTTGAAAACAAAATGAAAATGATTATCGAAAAAGAAAATTCAAACTTCGATGCTGCACATTGGCAGTCGAAACCTGCCGAATACGTACATTTCCATGGACACTGATGTCCCCAGAAAAATGAAATAGATAACTAGAAAGATACACCCAACTTTTTGGTTCAAGACCCAGTTGTTCAAATAAAGGACAAAAAAGGCAATAGCCACAGATACCACGATGAAAAAACACGACACAAATAGTCCACGACTGCTGACCTCAATAGGTGCATTCCACGCAGCTGCCTTAATAAGCCATGGGACACCCAGACACAGAAGAACATCAAATGTGTTACTTCCCACGTTGTTTGACACGGCCATGTCGCCGTCACCTGAGAGAGAACAAAAAAGAAAATCAGAACTTTTGGACTGGGGTAACTTTCGGAACTTTCGGAATGGAGGTAAAAGGTAAAAGAGGACATTTATGTCCCTCCCCCTTGCAATCCCCCACGTGGTTCGCAATTAACTGACGAACCTCTGTTACAAAGTCAGCTCTGATCATTGGGAATTTCGACTAAATTCGTATCATTTCCCAATCAGGTTTCTCCCAGATTCAATAGCTGCAATTAGAGATATATAAAAACCCAGAGAGGGGGGGGGGTAATGGGTAAATGAATGTGGATGCTTCTTTTGCGTGCAGTTTGAAAACATTATGAAACAAAATATTTTCAAGCGACGCCAGATATCGTACAATTTTTTTATTGTTTAACGCGTTGTCCTGATGTATTTGAGGATAGCGGATATTGGGCAAAGCGAGAGAAAATACTCTCACCCACTCCCATCGCCTTTCGCCAGCTCCCTTGGTAAATATTTCTCTTTCTCTTCAGCCTCTGCCTGTATGGTGGCGAAACAAACTTAAGAAAAGGCACGTACTCCAACAAACGTCTACACTGCACATGTCTTGCGTTCTGGTTGAAGGTTTTTATCTTCTACTGATATGGTCGTGTAGGACGTAAATAAAATCTCTCGAGATGAGTTCTGCGATCTACGTGACATTTATGCGAAAGTGTTGTTGCCATTGTAGTACAGTATGTTTTATGTTATTTTTCAATTGCAACTGGAATGATAGCATAGCTTACCTTTTCGTGCGATGAACAGACTTGACGAACAATCCGGTACACTGCTTCCAAAAGCGACGAGTGTAAGACCCATGACTGAATCCGGGACGTCAAATGTATATCCAATAATAGTAACCATCCAAACGAGGGTATAAGACCAGACTGAAATCCAAGCAAAACAAACTATAAAAGAAACGGCCACCCACTTCTGGCAAGATTCCTTCTTCACATCTGGGATGGTGAAAAAATACGCTATGTTGATTGGAAGGCCAAGGAACCAGCAAAATCTAGCCACCAGCCCCTCCGGAGGATTAAATGGCGTCCCTAGCGTGAGATCTGGGACGGGTCGGTGTTTTAAACCGTCTCCTGTAAAAACAAAAGGCGTTGAATTTAAGTTTCTCCAAACGCACATACTCCTCTTATTGGAAAAACTACAAAACAAATCCGGGGGAATCAGAACGAACGAAGACTACACTTTAGGAAGAAACCCAAGTAAATAAAAAAGATCGAAAAAAGACTGAAAACAAGGTAGACACACGTCACATCAGCCCCGTGTTGTGGTCATCGACTTTTTTCAAATAAATGGATGTACACTCGGTGTTGACGCCACAAAGTGTCCTACTAAGTCCACGCGCAAACCACCTCATAACAATTACGTTTATCTATTAACCAAACTTTACAAATATGGTGTCCATGGAGACTTGCTAAACTGGTGTAGAGATTATTTAACAGAACGTCAACAGCGTGTTGTAGTGACTGGTTAACCGTAACCTCTGGTGTCCCACAAGGTTCTTTGTTGGGACCATTATTCTTCACAGCCTACATCAACGATTTACCGGGGGTAATTAGTAAGGACAGTTCAATTGCTTTGTATGCTGATGACAGTAAAATCTATAGGGTTATTAGTGCTCAAGGAGATCTGTCTACTTTTCAAAGTGACATAGATAAAATTTCAGATTGGTGTAAGATGAATAAGATGAGAATTAATACCAAGAAATATAAGATCATGCGAATAACCAGGAAAAAGTTACCCTTAGTTGGGAAGTATAATATTGAAGGTCAACCTTTGGAAAGTGTTAATGTGTATAAAGATTTTGGATTATTTACTGCTAGTAATCTTTCATGGACACAACACGTAGATAAAATAACTGCTAAGGCTAATAGGGTTTTAGGGTTGGTTAAGAGGACTTGTAGGGACTTAAAGGATATTGACACCATGAACACACTTTATTGTAGTCTTGTGAGACCTTTATTAGAATATTCATGCGAAACTTGGAACCCTCATACTAAACGTAACATTGATAAATTGGAGGCTGTTCAGCGATGAGCTACCAGATGGATCACTAGGTCTGATGGTGATTATGATACTAGACTATCTAAGCTAAAATTGTTGTCATTATCTAATTGCAGGTTCACTAGAGATGTTACATTTTTGTAATGTAATTAATGGACATTGATATTGACATTTCAAATAAGATCATATTTTGTAAGGACAGAAATACAGGTTACAACTTGAGGAAAAATTACACACAGGACCTTGTTCCAAATTTTAGTAGAACTGATGGTTTTAAATATAGTTTTTTTAACCGTATTGTAAATGAATGGAATGGTTTACCCAATCATATTAGAGAATCAAACAGTATTGCAACTTAGAAAAAAAATGTTTTAAGCTTTATTAAGGATAACAAGAACATTTATATTTCTATTTGCATATATTTTTCTTATATTTTAATTAGTAGGGGCATCCCTAGTATAGCGCATTGACGCTTTTGGTTGTCTCCTTCTCCACAACTTTTTTTTTTTTCTTATAGTAGTGTTAGCTTATTTCATTTCATTATTTGCTTGTAATGTAGTGGAGTGAATCTGCAATAAATAAATAAATGTTTGATTTAAGGTTGTTTTAAGTAAGGAGTGGGATAGCTGTTTTTTATTTTAGTTAGGAAGACACTTTATGATGGTTATTGTCAGTATTTCTTGCTATAAGTGATGTTGAAATGGACTCAAAGTGTAAGGGGACACTTTGTGACGCCAATTGAGGTCTGCATGCATATTATTGCAAGCATTTCGGAGGAAAAACTCCTGAAACACGAGATCTTTATGATCTCACTATTTGAGCCGCTTATCACGAAAATCGAACTATCAAAAGCACAAAAAATCCACCGTCAAAGCTATCCCCAAGAAGAGACCCTCTATTCTGTTCCTGTTTTTGAAGTACACGGTTCCTGGTCGTTTCCGATTCCCAATAACATTATAAACTTTACCCGTTAGTGGTTGTTTCTGCCCACCGTCCTCGTTCCTTTCTTCTTCTTTTTTCTCTTCCTTTTTTCCATCTCCTTTCTCTTCAGGTGTCTTCTGTTCATTAGTGTTAAGTGGTTTCTTCTCTTTTCCTCCGCTGTGGCTCTGTTCTTCATCAGCAATCTTTTGGTATCCATTGTTGTTTGCTTTGATGCCGTTTAAAGCGTGTAGATCGGATTTAAACTCAGGACTGTTCGTATTGGTTATTTTATAAAGCCAGGCCTCAATTCGGGGATTGAAGTACATGATGATTAAATATATCAAATAGGAACACGACATGGCCAATGCCTCTGGCCTGCGAAATAAATAGAAATCACCAAAAAAAGCTTAGCTAAATTTCATTTTGTTCATTGATGATTTTTAAAAAAAAATATGCTCGAATTTTTGACCGAGATGATTTCCCTGCTCCGAAATACAAGAAATTAGCAAAGTTTCTGGTACATATTACATCATATCAAATCCTTGGACAATATTTTTCTAGCATAGGGCTTTTGTCAAATTTGTCATGAGACATTCCCCGAGAAAAAAAACACCAACAACCTCGTTCCCAGAGCTTTTCCGCCTCTCTGGGGAAAACCCCGAAGAGGTTGAGGTTCAACAATATAGCTTCCTTGACACTTGTCTCCCATCTTTATCTAAGTCTTGGCTGTGCGGGCCAGTCAAGTGGTTAACTGAAGAGACTACAAATCGATTCAAATCAAATGCTGGTTCTTACTTGAGAGTGAAAAACAGGAGTATCGGAAGAGAGAAAAACAAAGCTTTCCGAGCGGAGTAGAGAACCAACAAACTTATCTCACACAAGTGTCGAGGGCAGAATAGAACCCAGGCAACGTTGATGGAAAGCGACTGCCCTCACCACTGCGCCAACCCTTAGTAGCCAAAGGGACTAAAAATAAATGTTACATGAAGTTAAAACACTCACCAGGTTACAATGCTATCTATAAGCACCAAGATGAGAATGACAAGACTGAAGAGATAGAACATATTGTCTCTGACGAGAGGCCACCATGCTAAATACAAAACCTATCATGGACACATCACACAAGTTAGACGAAGAAAGTTAACGACGAAATTGCTTACTTGAAGTTGCTCCTTCAAATCTCTACATTATGATCATTTATTTTTCGTTCGGAACATGCGCTCTTGAAAGCATATGTCACCTAAAAGTCTAGTACGCCTTTTCTTTTTGGAACATCTCGGGTTGAACCAAACCGTTTTGTTTGAAGGACGAAGGTGACAAAACGTGATGCACATGCAGCGTTGTTAACGCTTTTATGTGACGTCATAATAGCCCCACCCCCTTCCCTTCTAAAATAAGAACATCAAGAACAAACTAGCCTTTTGCTTCGTCTGCTCTTGGCTCCTGGACACTTCTAAGAATGGGCTCATTAAATCAGCAATTTCTTTGTTGGTAAACCAGTAAGCAGTGATATACATTTTAACATTGCAATCCTGTCTGTAGTGTTCACTCTACCCTGCCTAGAAACCCAATCTAAAAATACACAGCTGCAGCTTGTTCGTTTTGTTTTCTCCATTCAGAACGCGTGATATTTCAAAAAAGCGTGCAAGCATACACACGTGCATGACATAAACACCCTCACGTGGTCTAGTTTGGGGAAAAAAAGTTAAAGAGGTCTGATGACGGATAAGGTCATGTCAGGAGTCCGTGAGCCGGAGGGTACTGCCTCCAAAGATTTATGTTACAGCGAATTTGAATTTATTTTATTTTTTATTTTTAATTTCTATCTTAATAGAAAATTAGAAAATAAGAAGCATTTCTTGGATATGCCCGCAGTTAGCAAAAGCTGGTCGAGGCGGGCAGTGTTTACGGTTATTTGTGAATAAAATCTTGCAAAGAAAATATTTACAAGAGCAGAAGATTCAAATTCTACACGAATTCACGGACTGAGCACGTTTTTAGACTGACGCAAGATCCTTCCCAGCCAATCAGAAGGCTTGCATAATTGATTAGTTCCTTAGGGGTCAATAGTTAATCAATGGAACCGGAGCCAGTCTTGAAATAGTTCCATCCGTGAAAACGCTGTAAATCACGTGGTTTTCCTCTCCTGGTCATGTTCTTACCGTTCCAGCCCCTACGCCACATAATCCAATAACGAACAGCACGTTGAATACCGCTGAGCCTAAGATGTTGCCGATCCCAATGTCCCCTTCTGTGATGAAGACACCTATCATTAGAAAGCAGGAATTTGTCATTAAATCTTTACTAAGGTGTAGAGTCACACTTGCAAAAACTTCCATTCGTTATCAAAACTGCGCGAGTTTCCTGGGTTCTCTACAACGAATGTGCATAATATTTGAGCTTATTTGGAAATTTGTGAATAATCCGTAGTTGCATGCTTGTCTACTCGGCGGTCCATATCTGCCTAAATACTTCCTTAGCTGCCTTTTGGCTTTTTGCACTTCTAGCTCGGACTATATCTCCTAGTTTCTACAGCAATCTCGTTCCCAGCGCTTTATCTACCGAGTGGGTGGTGGAAAACAGGCCGCAATGTTGGACGCCGAGAAAACCCCGGGAACGAGTTTAGGCCTGTTTATGCACTTGGCATTTGTGAATCCCTAATAGTAAATATCGTGCATCAAAAGCGTAATCTTACAACTCACCAATGATTGAGGCGAATAGTTCGGGAGCTGAATGACCAAAAGCCATGAAAGTAGCACCGGCCACATCAGATTGAAGTTTCATCTTATCAGAAATAATCTCCAAGCAAGGAACGAAATAATCATCGCAGACAATAGCTATGGCCCAGGATGTGTAACATACAACCAGAAAATGAATAACGACTGCACCAAGTCGCCTTTCACGCTGGTTGAACAAATCACTAGGAAATTCTTCAATTGATGGTGGGCTGCAATTTCCGGGATCGTTTGTCACGTGAACGAGAGGACGTCTTCCCGTGAATGATCCATCTGAAATGAAACAGAAGGCCGAATGGGCTATTGACTCAGAGGCCATGAGGGAGAGAGGAATAATTGTTTTAGTAAAATCCAACTAGTTGGTCAAAAATATCGAGACAAAACAACTTTAGCTAGCAAAACGCGATTCAGCCGCCATTGTTTTGGTTTTCAAAGTCACCGCTTTTCGCTACTAGTGGACTATAACATATAGCCTAGTAATAGCTCAACCAATCAGAACGCAGCATTGATAACAGACCACTAGATGGATTTTACTAATTAGTAAAAGAGCTGTATTTTTCCTTACTACAACAAGAGGACATCCAGAGCTGCAATTTTTTCCCTCTATTTTAATATTAATGTACACCAGGGCCGAGTTGTTCAAAGCTGGGTTAAGATAACCCAGGGTTAGTGCGAGATATGAATTGAGATTTGAAAGCTTCAAAAGCATTTCAGTTTTAATTCTTTTTGTCTACAAGTTGATGATTGGAAGGTCTAAAAATAAGAGACAAAATTATCGACTGAGAAAATGCTTTTGAACACAAGAAAAGGTAACCCGGGTTAAATTTAACCTTGGGTTAAGCGCTAATCGGCCTTCGAACAACTGGGCCCAGTAGGATAAAACGTGAAATGAAATGTGAAATGAAACAAGAAATTTGGAATGGAAAGAGAAATGCGAAATGAAATGTTAAATGTGAGATCCGAATATATCATTTAATTGATTAGTCCAAAGCTAGCCAATGGCGAAAAGGCGCCAGTTCCTAACCGGGAGTTCACGGGTATAATCCCGCTTGTGAGACTTATAAGATCAAATGTCCCACTAAACTACCTTACCCAACAATAACAGAACGCACATGTCATTCTTAGTTGTGGTGATATTCTGTACGTACCTTAGCCTGTGTACAGACGTCCCACCTCCCTCAGGAAACATCGGGAGAGGAAACGACGTCTCCTCTCCCGATTTTTCCTGAGGGAGGGGAGGGGGGGCCTCTATACACAGGCTATACGTACCTAAGACCTCTTCAACTACTTCGATAGGTTTTTCTGTAGTCTCACTGATTGCCTCTCGGAGCCAACTGAAAAAGCAGAGCACTAAAAGAGCTGCGAATCCCAGTTGAAACTTGAATCGTCTTCTTCGTATCATAGCTGGAGCTGAACAAACGAAGACGACATTTTGTCAGTCACTTACTTATTTCCTGTGCGTCTTCAATTGTTTTCTACAAGAGATGTTTTGAATCGTTGAGGAGCGCCAAATAGTTTCTTGTTAGCGCCCGCCGATGCCAAGGTTTTCATTCCAATCAAAGTATACCAAACTACTCAACAGCTATCAATTAAAAATCAGGGCAATAAAATAGAACCGATCTCAAACACAAGAGCTTAAAAGTAGACAAATGTTGGGAAAATTTTGTGTTTTGTGTAATAACTTGCTCCCTTTAACGCCTGACAAGCGAAAACAAAACGTAATGTATACAGAATGGCACAGCGAAGAATCCTTTTCCGGAGTGGACTCATCGGTTCCTTTGATGCACCCTGATCCAAACGATCCGTTTTCGGATTTTCCCAAAGAAACGCTCCCGAAGTTAACATACTTCTTCATCATTCCTCTCGAAATGCAAACTTATGTTGAAGAAACGTCGAGCTCAATTAGTGGCTGTTTTATGAATGCTTAGTAAATAGTATTGGAAAATTAAAGAATCCGCGTAATGATAAGAACTGGTTAGCGACGGTAATAAGGTTTCATTTGGTGAAAAATGACTCTTACACGAGGCTGCTTCTCCCTTTTGAAACCATTTCCCTCCATGGCCGCCGCACCCAATGTATCCTCTTTTCACTGTTATTTCATTTCGCATCCTTACATCTACGCACGCATGTTAACTAACGGCATTCCACTCACCTTAATAAACGTTTTTCTTCAAAGCAGTCGTAAACAGTAACTTATGGTCCCACTAAAAACAAAAATGTATAAACTTAGAGGAAACTACTATTTACCAATTGAATGTTAAATTAACATCGCCACATGGTATATCATTCAGATTCGTATTTATCAGTGCCTCTATTGTTCACTTACTGAATACCCAGGTATTTCCTTACACACGATTGGTGGTCGAATTGGTGTTTAACGCAATGCAATTTGTTAAGAACGTTGATAGAAAAAGTTTCTTCCCAAATTTCCCATGAAAAATTGTTTTAAAGTACTCAGTATGCAACCACGGATGACTGGTTTGCTTACATCATGGTTGCTAGGATTGATTTCGATTTTACTAAAAATTCCGACAGCGATCAAATGGGATTATAATTCGGCTAACAACTGACACTTTGTCATTACTGCCAAGAAGCCAAACAGTTAAATAATGACCTGACTAAATTCTCCTAGCTAACTTTCATGCCTTCTGTTATCTCGAGAAATGTTTTTCGATGAAGTTACTTTTTCGATAAAGTATGCGGCCAAGTCAGGCTCCCAGTAGTTTGTAGAATCTGTTTACAAAACGAAGTGATTCTGCATGAGATCTTTTTGCAAATTCTTATAACCTTTCTTAAAGGGACATAGTCAGCTACGGGACCGCGCTGACCTGGACACGACTTTTGCCAGTTTGAAAAGCGTTTACCTCAACCCGAAATCAAATGTATGCGTCGGATACATCTCGAAATCCGCTTCAGTCTTGCCAAGTGTTTCATTCCATCCTCGATCTTTTACAGAAAACCTCTTTTTGAGCAAAAGTTAACTCATCCTATGACATTATTTCATCATATTTGGTTAACAACAGTATCCAAAGAAACATGAACAGAAGAGGTGAGAAACGCGTAGGCGCCAAATCGCCTTTGTTTACCAAAATAACAAAAGAGAGTCCTTACACAAGGCTTGTGCAAGATGCTTACAGAACGCGTAAGAAGGCTTACACAAGGCTTGTGTAAGATACTTACAGAGGGCTTGTGTAAGAGTCTTACAGAACGCCTAAGAAGGCTTACAGAAGGCTTGTGTAAGAGTCTTTACACAGGGCCTTTGTAAGATAATTGCACAAGGCTTGTCTTACAGAAGGCTTCTTTAAGATACTTACGGAAGGCTAAGAGTCATTATTGACAGCTTGTATAAGAAAGGCCTGTGAATCGCTTAGGGTCTTTTCTAAAGGCTTGTGTAAGAGCCGTTATACTATGTGCAAACGTGTTTGGCATCCATCTTTAAAACCGTTTTTGTACGCCATTAGAATCGTTGATGTATTTTTTGCGATTGAAATGATAAATGCCACTTGCAAAGTATCGTTGGCGATTATCGGTTAACGATGGTTGTCCGCTCCGCTTGAAAGAGTCCTTCTCTTATTTCTTTTTCTTTTTTGAGAACATCTCAAGATATTGGGGATGATTTAGTCGTTTTTAATCCTCCCAAGTTACCCACAACACAAATGATACTTTTATCTGAGTTCCTATATGCGACTTTATTTTCAAAACTTCAACAAACAACAAATAACAGTAAAAAATAATCAATAATCGGTAGAGGATTTTTCCTATGCTATATGCATGGCTCCGTCTCTTTTTCTTTCTATATAAATTCATAAAATGTTAAATATGACGTTCGAATCAACGTATTCACTGTAAGGTTCGTTTTTTCATTTTGACTCTAGTCCTATACTTCTATGTCCTGAGCAACGCTATTTAAAAAATTACGTAAATAGCAATACAATTTTATAAAACCCCACTTGTCGATTATTCAATTTTTCTTTTCTACATGCATAAAATTAAAACAATGTTGTCACATCAATGGTAACCACATTCAACACTCATCTAACATTGATATGTAGAGATCAAAATATAGGTCTCTTGTGTAATCTCAGCCTGATATTTTCTTAATAGCCCGCATTCGATATATTTACATTCTAATTCGCCATCCCCGGAAGAGACTTGAGCACAAAGAAAAGCGGTATCCAACGCTTAGTTATGACCAAATTATAATCATAATCAAAACACAATCACCTGTTTATATACACATTGTATTATTTAAATATGGAATTGTTTTTTGAAAAAAAAAAAGATGTATTCAATTTCTAAGTTGTCCTCAGTGTCACCTGTTGAGATAACAACAAAACAAAACTGTAAACAAAAAAAAAACTGCTTGCGTCGTATAAAACCACACCGTCACTAAATTAGCTGACGACTTAAGAATGTAACTATGTCAAGTTAACACTCACAGTAATATTACCTTTTGTTTAAATTTTTCGATCAGCCTTTTTCTTACCTTTTATTTTCGTGTTCAAAAACAAATAACGCAGGCGTTTGTATCAATGGACGTCACTTCAAGTCCATCTTGACTTACAATCACTATAGACCGAATAAAATATTACCTGACTTATTTGTTAACAAAATAATATAATGATAATAATAACAATAACAATAATAATAATAATAATGACAATGATAATAATAATAATAAAATAAAAAAGATGAATCTTTATTAACATATGACCTGTTTACATTCCACTATCATAGACTAAAATACTAATTTAAAAGCTCACGTCATTATCGACTTTCTAAAATTATAGGACATACGCTTGATTAATAAAATGATAAAATTTCTAAAATTTATTTCCACCACTTCGACATTCTCGCTAAAACGTGTAGTACACTGTTGACGGCTATCGCTTTTTCCCGCCCAAACGACGCTGGCTCACGCGCGAGCACTACATATTAGCAGGGTCGTAACAAGGTTTATTATATACGTACTGAAAAATACTCACCAAAAATCTATGTCGTAAATTTTCGTACGCAAATTAGTTCTAGCCAATAAGAGGAGCGAACGATGGTTTTTACATGTAAAAAAAATGATACCTCCAATCAGAATCGCGAATGATGTTTTTTCACGTGTGAGAAAAAATGATACGTCCAATCAGAAGCCACAGAGGTGTGTGAGTTTCGCGCCAAAATTCCCGCCTTTTATTGCAGCTTGCAGTGCCGCTTCGCACACATTCAACTAGAAAAGTTTTACTCAAAGAGTTTTTCTCGCTAAAAAAAGGGAAAAACATTTCGGAAATGGAGTGGAATAGTTTCGTTTGTTTCACAATCGATAAAAAAAACGGTAGAGAGCTGGCGAAACAACAGCGGAAAGGGATAAACAGAACGAGACGTAAGCTTTTGTTGTGCTTTTTGTCGGAGCTACTTTGCCTTTCATTTAAGCTTAAGCTTATATTGAAACCGGCCATTTTACTTAAATTCACTCATTTTCAATTGCGCATTGAAAACAAACAGTTAAGATCTGGGTTGGATTAACTGCGTATACTTTATAAAAAACTGACAACAAAGGTTTCTCATTTCTTTTACAATTATTCACATCATTTACTGACTGCAGAATTAAGGTTGGTTCCAGTCTATTCTTTCGAGTTATCATAATTTCAGTCTATCATAATACTTTCCACTTAACAGTTCTCATTACAATATATCTTGTAATGAACCTTTAGTTTAGTGCTCTGTTGGGGACGTTTACGCCTTTCTTTTAAAATGTGATCAATTCCGCAATTCGCCAACGAAACAAGCAAAAGAAAACATCAACTTAGTCAAGAGAGAATGATAATAGCTCGTTCTCTCTTGACTTTGTCAAAGTTAAAAGGCGTTTGCGCTAGGTACACGTAGCTTTGTCTCAGTCGTCGCCTTGGTAGCACCGGTTATCCAACTGAGTTCAGGTGTGTCACAAGTCATACATCACCATCCGAGTATCCTTATACACGCGTTTCGTATTGGTGTAGAGAGTCTAAAGGTGTATGCACGTGGGGAGAAAAGTTGTAGAGATGAAGGCAGCCCCATTGCAGGGGGGTCTGGGGGCACACTCCCCCAGAAAATTGTTAAATTTGTAGACTCAGAAATACCATTTGCGGAGTTTTTTGCGGGATATCTTCAGTAAATTAATACGCAGGGACATTTTTGTGTCTTCTCGTCCCCTCAATGTTGGTATTCACGATTTGGTCACTGAATCGCAATAAACAACATTGGGAGGGAAAGGGGAAGCGCGGGAAGGGAAAAAACGGCGTTTGCGTTAAGTGTCCCAACTATTTTTGTCCGAGACTGTAGTTGTTTATTTTTACCCATCCCTGGTGTTATTGGCAAGATTCGGTGTTTATGTGAAAAACAGAGGGCAGTGATGCCGTCAGAATTATGGAATAATAAAAGGACAAACGAAATACTAACAGAAACACACCAATAGTGCAAAAAAGGTACCCGTCATCCCGATTTAATGATAAAAAATGCTTTTCCGGAAATTAAAAATATTTTTCTTTAATTTAGCTGTACATGTACACACGTGCGTGTGTTCGTATATGGATCCTACGTTCATGAGATCTCCTTGAGCAAAGATTCGCTTGACCAACGACTAGCACCTACAGAACTCCACAAAACCTTTCGCTAGCGTATGAACAACAATAGCTTACAAAATGCTAATATAACTTGCAAAAGCTGTAGCGACAGGAAATTTGAAGAATCTATCATGGCTTCACAATTTACAGCAATTTATTTCCAGACTAGGGATTGTGTTTCCTGGATTTTGGACGATCCAGCCTAGCCTTGTAGGCTAATATCACAGATATTTAACCGCAGCCACAAGCTTCAACAATTTGCCATATCTTTCACGACACTAACTACATAACTTTAAGCTACCTTACATTTGAAACTAATTTGCATTTAGTGGCTTGAATGTTCATACTACCAATAAGTATGTCATGACCTACCGTGTCGAAAGCGGCGGAAAGATCCAGTAACACGAGTATCAACCAAATATTGTCGTCGATTGCGAGTAAAATGTCATTGTGAATACCAGTGAGAGCTGTTTCCTGTCCCGTTCGATAAGCCGTTGAAATATCTCATGTAGTTCGTTATTAACAAGATGTTGATTCGAGGCGTAGAGCTACCACCTTTTCAGTTGCTTTAGAAACAAATCTTAGATCTGACATGGATCTGAAATTTTTATGGAGGCTCATGATCGAGTGAGTCCTTCTTAAGTAATGGATCTAAAGCAGCTTCGTTGAAGCACGCAAATACAGGTATTGCTCACAATTCACAGCGGTCAAACGAGTGAAATTTGCAAAAGTTAAGCTTAAGGTTGCTACTTTCACTATCGAAAGTTTAGGGTATTACCAACATCCTGTTAGTTTACTAAACTTTTTAAAAGTTTACTAAAAAAGTTGTAAGTGATTGAAAACCGATGCTGACGTTATTATCGGCGCCATTTTCAAACATGATTCTCTTTTAGCGCGAAGCGTTTTCAGCGAAAAAAGCTCAAATTTTGAGAAAAATGGAAAGATAGTTATGTTGACTAAACTGATTTATACATCTTTGCCCATTTTTCTCTAACTGGTAAATGAAATCCCAGCAATAAAAAACAAAAATAACGATTTAGACGTTTGACCGCAGTGGTTGCTCACAATAACGGGTAACAAAATGGTGTAACAGTCTGCCATTAAGATGCCAGGAATGGGATCCAAAATACAAGATTTCCCAGACGTTGTCTTGAGAAGAGGCGATCAAGAGTTCAAGAGTAGATGAAGGGGCACCCAATGGATCTGTTCCTCAAAATATCTGTTCTTTGGGTGAATGTTTGCTGGCTGGGAGTTCAAAAATAATTGTGTCATTAGAAGGAAAGCCGTGCTGGGAAATAGACAATTCAGGGTGTCTGAGTGGATTTGAGCCCAGAATAGCTGGTATGTGCTATTTTTCAGACGTCCCCCCTCCCCCCTTTCCGCATGGAAGGGGTGAATTTCGCCAATAGACCACACCCAATTTCCTATAGGTTGAAGGTGTACCTTGCTGGCTGGGAACTCGTCCATCACACTTGCTGGGAGTGGGGAACCTGTAGATGTTGGAGACAAATTCACTCATTGAGCTCCGGTACAATAGCCTTATTCTTTTTACGATATGAGATGACGGTTGAAGGAAAGCTAGTGTTACGTATGGCTTGCGCCTTGTCCTCAAGCCTGAGTAGCATACAGCGAAATCTCAAAATTCGCGCTTTACAAATCGATGCTGCCATGTCGGCGCATACATTACTCTTTTTACGAACTTTGATGTTAAATACACTGGAACACGCCCGGTCACGTACAAAAGTTAAATACTAAAACAGCAATTCGAAAGTTCGGTTGTTGCCTGACTGGGAGCCAGCGCAAGCCTTTTAACGAGGGAGTAATGTGATCGGATTTTCCAGCTCCGCTTTCAATTCTACAGGCAGAATTCTGTACCGTGCTTGGAGTTTGACCAGATTACATTGGGTGGTGTTCATCCAAACAGAGGAGCAATAAAAACTAATGCGTTTATGATAATAATCAAAGTGTTTTTGTCAAAAACATGCTTAACACGATTGATTTGACCTAATCGTGGCTACCAAGAGGACACAGTAGAGAAGATATACTCGTTCAGAGGCGTAGCTAGCCCATAGACCAGTAGGCCCGAGCATACAAATCTTTGATTTGATCACTCTACCGCTTGTATTAATTTATGCGTTTGTTTCTCCGAACGGATATTTTACATAAAACATTCGTTGAATGCCCCTGATCCCGCAGGCTAATTATTAGGAACCACTGTTACTGGAGCCCTAACATATTTATAAAAATATCTTCTTCTGACTGATCTCCACACCTTTCCCTAGTCGAGAGAATTTGAAAAAAAGTTCAAGGCATTAATTAATTAATTGGTATTTATGTTAATAATATCCCATAACTAAACCGGCCGATAACCAAACGGAACCGGTCCAATTGCCGAGCCGCGAACTAAAATATTCAAGATTTCTCCTTCATATATAGTTATCTTATATATCTATACTGCCAAAGCGCAAAGCAGTCTAAAGCTAATGTTATTTTCTCCATTGTATTTCGTTTTTTGGAAGCCACTGTCAATTCATACCTGTGAGCGTGAAACAATAGCTGACTGGCCTTAACTAGGCGAGGTTTCCACCAGAGTTTTTCAAAGTCGAAGGGAAAGTGGTTCCTGTTCATCAGTTTTAAAATTTCCAGCAAATTTTGCTGAAGAAAGGACAAAAGAAAGACAAAAGACCAATCTAACCCTAATCAATAACTTAATTACAAGCGGTAGAGTGGCCAAACCAAAACGTTTTAGCCTGGGGCCGACAGGTCTATAGGCTGTCTACGCCCCTGTGTGAGCTATTGACTTTTCGACGATTTATTCTTCATTCTTCTATCTCAATGTTATAACTTGACTTCATTGTTACTTTAACCTGAACGGATAAGTCCGCTTGGCGCAAACCAAGCCGAGCAAAAAAAAAAAGAAAAAAGAAAAAGGCAATCCTGTGTGCCTCCAATGCGTTATTCTTTTCTACGTAGGGAGAATGTTGGTGCATACGACCTTCATTCGTTTCGTTGACATAAAAGATAAAGACCGCGAAGGTTGAGGGTGCTGTACGAGACTATTTTAATGAATACCCGGTCATAAAGGTATGGGAGTTTGAAGAGCGAGTGGAGGAAAGTTTGCGCAAGAGCCATAATAGCTCTTGGTTTGCGGAGGAGCCTGGTGTCTTGTTTAATCCAGCTCGAGCACCCACGCTTAGTTGAGACAGAACTGCGAAAGTCAAGTGGAGATGCTAGATGTGGAAGTGAGAAACTATCGGTAACAGGGAAGTAAGTGACAGGACGAGAAGTTGAGTGCTAATAGAAATTTGTTTGTCTCGAATAATTATAGGAGCAACTCTTGCCAATATTAACTAGCACACTTACATAGCAGGCACCTCCGAAACGCCGCATTGACACGCCATTAACTTTAGAGAAAGGGGCCAAGTATGGAGAAGTATGAAGAAGAAGAAAAGTGACCTATCAATGCAGAAAAAAGAATTCGGAAAATATACTTGACGCGTACTGTCCTATTAAGCTGTCCAATTAAAGCTGAAATCAGGGTAGTTGATAGCCAATCAGATTTGACAATTTTGATATGGTTATGATTAATAAGTTAATAGCAGTGGCAGGTTGCTTTTCTTTTTGGTGGGTAGTTTTGCCGGAATGGTCATAGTAGTAAAATGACGCCATCGTGCCAGTGGCCTATTGTGTTAACAGATTTTCTACACACCAAATTATATCCTTTTCAGCCTCCCGCTTCTTTTTATCATACTCCTTGAGACTTTGAAAGTCTATGGATTAGAGTGACTGGCAATCTGTGACCTGGGAAGTTAACAATATGCTTACTTCTTTATTTTCAGGTATTTTATTCCTTCACATTGCTTGGATTGCTCCAAAGTCGTAAAGCAATGCCCCGTACGTGGCTGTGGGCAGCATTGTAGAAAAGAGGAAGTGCTGGAACACAAAAAAGAAAAAAATGAACGCCACATATCTTTAATGGAAAGTGAAGGAACGGGAATTCTGTGGAAGTCAGAGAAGGTGGGTCAAAAACAATTCAAATCGATTATTCATAGCCAGAAAAAAATCAGTTACTGTTGACTTAAGCTTCTTCGGTGAAAAGCTTTGAGAAAAAAAAAATGACCAAACAAACGTTAACTTTTCAAATTAGGCACCCAACAGCCAAATGTTTCCGAATAAGCCAGAAGTGTCTCAAATAGTTTTCTCTGTGCTTTAGAAGCCTGTTAGGTTAATTTGGAGTTGCCCTAAAAACTATTGATCTGTTTGGATGTCTCAGAGGAACTTTGGTCGTCACGAAAGTCTAAGTATAGGTGTCTTTTTCGTCTCATCCGAAAGTGTTAACTACCATTATGGGTCCGGCGAAAGTTTTAGGACATGAAGTAGTCTTAATTTCAAGTTTAGAAAATTGCAGGGGACGTTTTGTCTTTATACCGAAATTTTTAAGAGACCTTTTTTGTTAGATGCAATATATTAGTATTTAAAAAATATGGATAACACAACCTCCGAAAATCGTAGTTAGTGTGTTAGAGAACCCCCAAATATTTCACACGAATGGAACGGTTGTCCTTGGAACAGTCATTTTACAGAATAATGTCGCTGGGTGCCCCTGATGTCTCAGCAGACAAAGGATAGAGGACAGAGAAATAATGATCGTTTTTCAAAACTGTTATTGCAGGGACGATTGGCCGTTCTTCCACAGTGTTCACCATCAGAACAGTTCGTCCTAACGTGGGCAGGACTGGGTGCAGGTTCAGGCCCTTTAGCCCCACCAGTCTTTGTTAAGCTTGAAAGGGGGTGGAGGTTATACTTCCAAAAAGGCATGGAGCGCCTGAAATACATTTAGGGGTTGGACATTGCTGTCGTCCCAAGGCAAGTATTTGTTGACGGCTCTAGCAATAATCTGCCATTGTA